TAGGAGGCCGGAGCCGACTGGGGAACGACCGACCGGGAACGCTCGCTCGGTAAAGACCCAGGAAACGGACAGACCAAGTAAGGCGGAGCGCTCCAGTCAACCGCAATACTAAGGACCGTACCCTACACACTTGCAGGGTAGTACTATCAGGTCATGTTAGAAGGGTACTTTATAACATTCCAGACATGTCAAAACACCAACAGTGTTGTGGGCACCGACATTTGACCTACAGTATGGTTGGCGCCGACATTGGCCATACCAGAAGAACGCAGTGGAATCGACCACATGCATCCAGCCATCAACAGTATTGTGGGCACCGACAAACTGTCTTGTACCCGACGGCGTGGGCAACAAGACTAGGTAGCACACACACTCTCTTTCTCTCACACACACTCTCTCTCTCTTGTAAAGCCATCCCCTTCATCTATAAAAGGGGATGCGCTCTCTCCAAAGCGAGGACGATCGATTCAGAAAGATTCGAACGATTCGAACAACGAACAATAGATGGATCATTCCGATACTCTCTGCTAGCTTTGGACACTCCAAAGCCAAACAGAGCATACGTTAGAACACTTAGCGCACGTCGGAGCTCCCGTCACTCTTGGCCCTTCGGTCCGAAGTCCGACTGGACCTCTGATACCCCCCATCTTACTCCCTCTCGTTTGTAACCCTAGAGCAAACTCCGAGCACCTGGGCTCAGGAATAAAGTCACCGACCGACTCAAATTGGACGTAGGGCACGTTGCCTAAACCAGTATAAACCCTGTGTCATTGAGTGCTAGGCCACATCCGATCACAACGTATGACAAAACTACAAATATTTACGTGTTGGTCACTTTTCGCACCGACAACATGAAAGTGGGTTTGATGAACTTAACATTGGTCAGTTAGTGACCTTGTGTCACCAAACTCAAGCTTGTGCTTTACACCTTCTTGCATCCAAATAGGTAAGGAGAAATTGAGTGGAACTAGGATATCCTTGCATCAAGCATACACAACCACTTAGAGAGAAATTCGAGAAATTCATGAGATGAAAGATTAGAAAAAGGAGTAGGGCTTACACTTTAGATGAATTTGGTGCTAGCAACCTTCATTCTCACCACATGCAAGATGAAACCAAATATTAACGTTGCCATTTGTATTTCAGAAGTAAACGAAACATTTCTTGAGCTCACTCAAGTGATGGAGGTGAAGAGGGGGTGATGAGCTTAATCTTCTTCTCTTGTTCGTAGGGATCTTGCTCTTGGATTTCTTCTCCTTGATCTACCTTCACCTTTCTTTCCTTTCTTCTTCCCTTTCTAGTTCTTGTTTTCTCCTTCCTTGAGAGAGATGGGGAGATGAGAGTGGGTGAGCGGGGTGATGAGGGGGGCTGGATCTAGTGACTTGGGGTGTTTAGTTTGAGCTCACATGTGGGGCCAGGGGAGATGAGGACAGCTCATTCAAATGTAGTTCTGTTGCATAAGTGTTCTGGTGAGTAGTTTGGTGATCCGGATGGACAGTTCGATAGAATATGGATTCTGGATCTTTCTGATTAAGATGGAGGAATCGAGATTGGAGTTCGAGTATTACTCATAGAAGTTTGTAAGGACCACTGGGAACTTAGGGCACACTTCCTAGGTAACATCACGTAGGTCAAACAATTGGGTTGACTTGGCTTGGCCAGAAAGGTTTAGTGAAGACTATTAGCTAGATCTAGGTCTCTGTCGTCAAGAGTAGTTAAGTGATATCCATCTGGTTTACAAGGGTGTCCGTTACAGGAAAAAGATATATATATATATATATATATATATATATATATAGAGAGAGAGAGAGAGAGAGAGAGAGAGAGAGAGAGAGAAAGAGAGGTCATGGGTCAAGGTCAACATGGAGCATGTGATCTAGGTGGCCTATGGGTGATTAACAGGGTTTAACATCATGGACCAAGGGAGGTGATGCGTAGGAGTTAGAGCTTCCATGGAGGTTTTGGAAGAGTTTAAATTTGGAATGACTGTTGGATCATGACAGTGCTTCTTGGACCAGCCTGGCCTAGAAAATGACCCGGCGTGTCGTTCCTAGGCCATTGCCTAGGCCCATGGCCCGATGGCCCGGCGTGCCGGGCCGGGCGACCCGATTGGCCATCTATATTGGGGCCATGTTCATAGTTGCGGCGGTCGCGAACTCCCGCAGGGCACACGAAGGTGCAATTTTATTTTATTTTTTTCCAATAGGCAAAGTATCTAATGTTTTTTACTAACTTGTTACAAAAAGATATTAGTTTTTTTGACACTAAATAGTTATCCTATAAAAATATATTTAGTGACGAATCCAATCACGTTTGTTTGATATCATAAATATCAATACTTTTTAAAATTTCACAAATTTAAAACGGTTAGGAATTGTATGTATTTTTTTCAAGACGAGTTTGTCATATTCAAATGCACGCATGATACTGGAGCAGAGACGTACTGGCGCCTGGATTTGAATTGAATTCATTATTCAATTATACTCCCGCGCGGCACCACAACGTTAGCGCTATATCGTTTTCATGCTCCACCTTACCACCATGGGTTACTTTCTTTTCTTTTTTTCATTTTTTCATTTGTATATAATATTATTACATATACATACACCTACTTATTTTTTGCAGTTGCCGTTGGTGGGAAGTAGGGAGCAGCCAACTAGGACGTCGCGTCGCCATACCGGCAGTCCCGTCTCCGACGCCGACCGCCGCTCTGCACACGACCAGTTGTGTTGCGTGATGCGTGCTGCGGTACCGAATTGGCTCAGCCTGGCATCAGGGCGTGCTAGCTGCTTTATTATGGTACTCCCAACATAAAAAATTGTATAGTTTTTATTCTTATTAATTATTTTACCACGGGTCTTGCAACCAGGAGAGAGAGCAAAAGAAAAAAAAAAGAAAAGACATTGGTTCTTTCTAAATTAGAACCGTGTTTCACATGCAACAAAGTAGTGGAAACCATCCAAGACCGCGTTGGAGAGGAGAGCTTCGTTATTTCCATCGGTGACTTGGATGCTGTGCGTGCGGCTGGTGGGAGCCTCGCTTGACCGGCGGCCCCTGCAAAGCTTGGCACGGCCAGTGGGAGCCTCGCTTGCGTGGCCACCGCCGAGGACCGCACGGCACTGGTGGGAGCCTAGCTCACACGGCCGCCACCGCGGACCTTGTGTGGCCCGCCGGTGGGGATCTCACGCGAAGCCACAGGGACACCCGTCCGCATTGGATCCGGAGGGACAGGGAGAAGAGAGGTGAACGATTGGTCTAATTTTTTTTATCCTCCAAAGGCAGGTACATTGTTGCACGTCAGCGGTCTCGTACGCCGTCTCGTGCAGTGCCACATAGGATTTTTGCTGATGTGGAGAAAAAAGAGAATAGAGAGAGAACAAGGTGGTTGTTCTCATAAGCTAAAATTTAGGATTATGAGACAACTATTCTATCATTATATGAGTTGTTGTTGCCATGCAACTCACAACTTTCCTTTTATTTTATGCATAACTTAAGGAATTGTGAGTTACTATGAGACAACTTAAAAAACAACCATTATACATCTTATCTGTTAAATCATTTTAAAATTAGGTGACACTACATGAGACCAATATAGTTTCTCTAAGAAGCTGAGAAGGATAGTATTTATAAATGGTGTCTTGTGGCATAGAAACTACTAGGTAGTTTCACCACTATGAGTTTCCTCAACTTTTGAAACTTTAGCTGTTCAGGGGAAGCCCGGTCCCAACCATCTTTGGCCTTCTGCAGAGAATCTTGGGACCATTCATCTTATCTTAGACTGCCTTCAGCAAGAGATTTATATGGGCACCTAAACCCAAAATGGGTAACAGAGACTCAAAATCAGCCTCCAACAAACTACCTATACGAGAAACCTATTTTAGGTTGCCTGATAGACACGACTCAAATATGAGCATCCTCTCTCCTAAAAACCCATTTGCAGAAAGGATTCTCGTTTGGATCCTGTTATTGGAGAAGATACCGAATAGGTATTGAATCCTTTGATTGTAGCACTACCTAAAAGTCAAATGGGTCTTGTATTTTTGGACGTTGTTGTTGATGATAGTCTTACAAGGCTACTCCACTACGTACTACAGATTGCCAACCTATCACCGTTACCGTTTTTGGCAGCTGGAATTGGAAAGTGACAGTAATAATCTCACGTGTCACTGGTATTGGTGAGCAACCGGCAGTGTTAGTGCAACTTTATCTTTTATTCTCCTACCAAGCTGCAAAGGAAGTCATGTCACCAAATTCCATTCCATATATACTAGCAAAATTTGCTCTAGCGTTTAACTTCTAGTCATGCTGCTAGTATGGATCCATTTACCTTCCTGCAAAACTTGGTTGTTCGGATGTAGCCCGCCGGTTGCTGCTCTACGTTACTAGGCTCTGCAGCAAGGCACAAGGTTTACTGCTGCGACGCGATCGAGTGCCAGGAGAGAGAAATAAAACCCGTCTGTACTGTACCTGTTGTACTTGGGCCATCCAGAGGTTTTGAATTTAAAATATGCATGTTAACATTTCACATTCGTGAGTAGCAACGTTGCCCCTCTCCTGACACTTCATATTCATGGTAGTAAAACTTTGTTCTGTGGTTCTGCTTCTGCCTCTGCGGCATCCTTCTCTAGAATGGTAAGAAAGACTGTTCAGAGAAATCCAAGGTGTACAACAACGTAATGTAATAGCTTCCCTCCAAACAGAGACTACCATCTCCACTCCTCTCCATCATTGGCTATACTGAGACTTACTTTCTCTCAAGTCTCAACAAACAGTCAGATTCACAACACAATATCCCTTTTGAAGTTTTGAGCAATTTTTGAATCAAGTCTAAGCTGAAAGTAAAGCTACAACCACTTGTCCACTTCCATTTCACAATATACCCAGAATGAAAAACTCCAGGCGATCGTCGGACGTCGGGCACATACGTACTTACAGTTCCGTCACAGAGTAACCGCGCACGATGAAGTCTGTCAATGGAATCTCACAATGGGGCGTACTAACTATTGACTCTTGTCACCCTCAGGCTCATCTTCCTTCTTCTCTTCTGGTTTCTTCTTCTTCTGCCTTTTATACTTCTTGTGCTGCTTCTTTGGCTGCACCTGTCGATGCAGCCGTGTTAATCGCTCCATGGAGCATGCAAATTGTACAGAGAACAAATGTACTATGGGGGTCTCATGAGTGGAGCTATGCCGAAGGAGCATATATTTTTAGTCAAGAAAAGGAAAAAGACACTAAGCAGTCCAAAATTAATAGTTAAGCAAGAGAACAAAAACAAAAATCATCGAGCAAGGCAAAACAAAAATCTTATGGTCACTCAGCCATGGACTAGTGTTACTCAAAAACCTAAGTGCAATAGCTAACATTTCATGACGCTTAAAGATCACTTCAACAAATTACTTACTACTACTAAGAAGCATGCAAAGTAGCTGATTTAGAGAGCTGATTCTAGGAGTGCAGCAAAAAAAATTCGAGATCCATAAACATGTTTTCAGACAATTGATGTGCAAATGAAATAGAAGAGCATGGTATCACTTGTTTTCCATCAAGGTTACCAACAAGCAGAGCCCCTTCTAAGAATAATAAAGCATACCTCGGTTGGGCCAATCAATATTTCCTTCCATTCCAGCGGACCCTTGTTAGATAGATCGTTAAGGAATTCAACATCAGGAAGCTGAAATTTTTTTATTTGAAGTGTTAATTGGTATATGAATATAGAATAAGCGTAATGGTTACTTAAATAATATCAAGTTCCAGGCCTCACTGATTGCGCAATTGGTTGATCGCCAAAAACTTTACTCGCATCAGACTGAGTTCCAGTTACTTCCTGAAAAGCCGTCTGAAGAGCTGCATGGCATAGAACATGAGAAAACACAAACTAATCACTATCACAAATGTAATATTTGTACATGTATTTCAAGGATAATCTTAACAAAGTACCTTGCTTATTGGTAGTAAATAATAATGGAATTCAATTCACCTTTCAGAGAATAATCAAAATAGTGGAATTCCCTTTTGCATAAGTCATTTAACCACTAAGGGAGGGATAGGTGTTGAAACATAAAGTGAACTGTTCACCTTACCCATCAGTTTAAGATTTTAGGTTGAATTAGTCGGCACATGCAACCTAATTAATAATAGGGACATCGACTGTTTTAAATCACTGTTTCCAAATATTTGTAAGCACCAAATTATAATTTTTCACAAATACTTAGAAGTTTCTCAATCCCTATATGACGGTAAAATATGAATATATAGATGGATCTGTAGCAACCCAGTTACTGACCAAACATCTCCTCATCTGTGACACCCTCTAACAGTTCAGCACACCTAAAATCTTCTGTAGACATTTCTTGAGCTTGTCGTAATAGCTCGTCCTCATCCTATATAACACCAATACTATTAATTTTTATAATGATCAACCATAAGAATAAACAGTATCCTTAATCATTCAAATTAACAGCATTATTGCAACAATGCAAAGATCATTTACTAACAATGCAAAGATCATTTACTAACTTTGTTGAGAACTATGCCACATTATTGCAACGTAGTTTTGACTTGTCACCTCTTATTTATGCTATCAGACTGAAAAGAATTCTTATCCAATCATCCCAAGGATGTTGAGCAAATATTTCAGGTATCTGAGGCAATGAGAACAACACTTGTCTTTCCTTCCCATTTCCCAATCTAACGGACATTGAAGCAACCACACTTAGCAGGAAGTCTATTATGGTGACCTGAACATTGACTAAACGGGAGAATACCTTCCAGCTGAGGTGGTCTCAGTAAACCTTTTTTACGAGTAATCTCTAAATAACTGTTGGACATGCAAAACGAAAGAAAGAGACTGCATTAGCTGAATGGCACTAACATACCATATGCAGAAGTCTTTCATCTTCAGTATATGAATTTGGTTCAGGTTCTGTGTCAGCCATAACAATGTTACCATTTGAGGTTGAAGATTGGCCTTCACTCTCAGTTTTGGACGATTCTTCTCTGGCTTTTTCTGCAGCAGCTTCTTGCCTTGCTCTCTCTTCGTCCATAGACATCTGGAGTGCTAGCGCCAGCTCTGGGTCCACACCAAATTCAAAACCCGATGCTCCACTAGCAGCAGCAGCAGAATCACTTCGTGGGTCTTCTGATAATATTGGTGAACTACAGGGGGAAGAGCTATTAGAGATAAAGATGTTGCTGCATCAGGTTAGAGCAATAATATATGTTTTACCTGAAGATGACATCAGAAAGGACACCTCCTGCAGGGATATGAATTATATGACTGTTGCCTCCATTATTGACTGCAGCAACAAGAGCTTCTAGTTTCTCTGGCTTTTCATCATCAGATTCACCGAAGTTAACAACATCAAGAGCAACATTGTTCTTCTTCAGATTTTTCCCTATCACTTCTAGCAAGTTCTTCTCATCTTTTACTGGGCTGCAGGGGACAAATTTAGAACTCGAATGTAAAGTATGATCAATGAAACAGCACTGATGCAACCTCAGATCATACCAGCCAACAAAAACAATTATTCTCTGCTGCAGCTGCTTGTTCTGCCGATTCTTGAGTGCAAGTTGAGCGACCCGGATAGCAGTAGTCAAGTTGGCTTCACCACCAATTTGCAGCCCTGAATCCAAAAATGAATTGACTTTTGGTGGAAGCATGTTTTTCCATAAGTATCGTTTTGAACAATTTCTTATGCGCAGACAACAAGATGCAACACATGATTTTTTTTATCATAACACATGATTTCTAAAAAGTTGTATTATCTGGTATCTACAGGGTGACGAGATGATCCTAGTATCTCATGATTATGTTAAAGTTAAACATATAGCACTAAACAATGCATGCAACTGAAGTGTTAAATTGAATCCAACCTGACCACTGATATAGAGACAGGTATTAAATTGAATGAGTATATTCTCACCGAGATATACTTTCATATTATTATACTACAGTATTTTCCTACAATATAACTGGAAAATTAATCACTGAAAGTGTATATTAGACGTCGTGTCAATGTTCAAAACAAAAGACAGCGGAGGGGATAACTTCTTGGCTACCACACACTCATCAAATAGACATTGACTGCTGCCACGTAAAGTAACTAGATAAGCAAGTCAACCAAAATCAGCAAGTGAGGTACCAGCCAAACAAAAGATATGTGCAAGCAGTACGTCCTCTTACTCAAAGCAGGGTGTTCATGATGCTTAAATATTGCAGTGTACTAAAATATAGGCATATAGCTAATTAGCTAGGTAGTAGAAGAACATAGGCCGGATGCATTGCCACAATATTAATGTAGAAGCAGCATTGCAATGATATTGATACCCAGTACTATTTCTTAGAGTTACTTACAGCTGAAATCGTGAAGCGACCCCGTTGTGGCTTTGTGCAATTTTGATGGAATCAATGGAATGACAAGTTCACAACAATAAACAAACTCAGGAGGCGAGCGGGGGGTTTCGCGTACCGTTCATGCCTGATAGGACCTTGCTGAAGTCGTTGGTTGGCGTGACGAGCACGCTGACGCCCTTGCCCGCCCCCGCCATGGCCAGCACCCCCACCGTGCTCTCCTTCGCCTGCGTGGTCCAAATTCACCGATCGCCCAAAAGGAACCCGTCAGGCCGCCCGGACGCACCCCCAAAACCCCAAGTAGCGACCCAGTAACAACCCCTAGCAGCGACGCGCGCGTGGGAAGTGGAGACAAACCAGACCTGCGTCTTGGCGGCGCAGAGGACGGCGAAGGCTTGGCGCTGCGCCTCGAACCGCGATGGCGGATAGTCCCCGTTCCTCATCCACTCCGAGTTGTCCACGCAGATCATCGTCGCCTGCGATTGGATTTGGACCGCCACCGCAAACCGTCAGGGAATGGTCAGAAATCGCTGGGCGTCATTAGACTGCGGCAGCAACGATAGAAGGAAGGAGGAGTGAAGGGGGGGAGACATACGGACCTCGAGCACCATGGTGATGGCGGGCGGCGGAAGCAGGGGCGCGGCCGGCGAGGCGGGTGGTGGGTTCTCGGAGACAAACGGGCGTGTTGCTTCGGAAGAAGGAAGCGTGAGGTGGCTTCTCGTCCTCGGGGACGGTTGTGGAATGGGGAGGGAGCCGAGAGCCCCGACAGATGGTTTTGAACGTGCTCCGCTGCACCTGCGCGTGTGCAAGGCGGACCTGGGCAGAGGGTCGTGGCCCGTGAACCCCAGGTGCCCACTTTAGTTTTGGCCCATAAACATGGGCCCATATGGCAAACTCCACCCACTTAGGTCGGTCGTTCCGTTGCCGATCGCTCACATAGTCTCACAGGCTCACAGCACACGTTGCTCAAAAAAAAAAATGCTCACAGCACACTCGCTTCAATCCCGTTGCCACCCGCTGCATCTCACGCTCATCCGCTCCTTCCGGATCCTTCCTCGCTGCACCCGTGCTAGAGGCATGTCGTGCAGAGCTCGGAGGTGAGATCCGTGGCTGATGGCAGGCGCCCGTGAGGCTTTTTCCGACTACAGTTCACTTTAATCCATATAAATTAGAGTGAATTAGAAATTTAGAATAAAAATTTAGTTAATTTTCTATCCGATACAACTCAATACATATATACTATAATAATCTATACTGTAAAGGACCAATTCAAATAAAGATGAGTGCACTTCACATTTATATCCTCCGCTGAGATAACACACACATTGTGCACCAAGGATCTTGTACTTAGGAATACAACTTTATAAAAATCAATGGCTCTTAACCCTTCTTACAAGCTTCAACTCAATCCAACGTCCACAATTCTTTTGTATCATCCCGTAGATGGGCTTGAACGCACAACGCACCACCAGCAGCTTCATCCGCAGGAGTCATTGAATAACAAACCAATGGCAGCTATGCTTGGCGTCATGCTGCTCTCATTGAGGAAGGCAACGAGTTAAACTTGGACCTGCATGTGTTTGGGGTTGGGCCTGATTAAGGATGGCAATCGGACGGGTCCAGCCCCCGAGACCGACCCAATGGTGGCGGGGCCAGGGGCAGGTCTAATTTTGCACCCGCGGGTCTCAAGCTTGGGGACCCGAATCGGGTCGGGGGCGGGGACGAGTTCCATTTTTTTCCATGGGTCCCCACGGACCTCCGAAGTTATGCCATACAATTGAAATATAGCCCACACATACATAAGTGATGAAGCCCATGAGACATCCAGCCCACTCCCTCCAACTGGCCCCCACACCATCCCATCCCCGTGCCCCGTCCCCGTTCCCATCTGTTGCCACAAGCAACGTTCTCCTGAGTCCCGACACCATTTCTGTCTGCCAATCATTCGGTCCGATTAGTCGGACCGGAGCCGTAAGCCGACCACCTTGAATCTTGCGAGCGCGGCCCACGAGTGACTCCAGCCCACGCGCGAGTGCGGCACCTTCTGTGGCAGAACCGTCCGAAATAACACGCATTTGGAGGCGCTCGTCTTCCACTAGACACTAAGCACCCCGAAAGTTAGCTACATTGGACAGTTCCGTCGAGCAGACCCTAAGGGAGAACTCGAACAATTCACGTTTTTCATCTAGAATCTAGTAATGAGAACGAGTTTACAATACTTAGTCCATTTCATACAACAAGAGTTCTCGGAAATATATTATTACAATACCAAGTTCAGAGTGCGGAATTTAAACAGCGGAATTGAAATAAACATCTAACGAAAAGATACAAGGATCCGTCTGTGCCCACCAGAAGAATCCTCTACACAACAGCCACTCCTCAAGCTGCACTTGAAATAGGGGTAAATAAACCCTGAGTACACAATGTACTCGCAAGACTTACCCAACTAGTGAGAATAATTTTCTGACTCCAAAGGATATGATAAGCTTTATGGTCTGCTGGGTTTCCTTTTTTGCGAAAAGCAATACTACTAGTGAATCCTTATGTAGGTGTTTTATTAGCAGTCATAATTAGTTCATTAGCTAACCATTCTATATAAGCATCTGTTCTACTTTCAAGCAAGAGTTGAGCAATCAGATCCATTTCACCATATTTTATCTTCCAGTTATTACTACGATGCTAGATCATAGCCAAGTCGTACCATATCACAAGGTGATTCACGAACCAATGTATGCCAGCTGGGTACCCTGAAACACACGTTCCGCTTGTACCCTAGGCATAAGCAAGACCAACCCACCACTCTCCTATCAAGGGGTCCAGATCCCCGTCCAAACTTAGACTCCAAGACTCCACTCCTGAGTCCCGGACTTAGTGTGGTGCTTAGACCTCCACCATCCCCGCCTCCAATTAGTCGGTCTAAAAAGAGCCAAAACCCATGATAAGAGAGCAATGAGCCTTCTCGCTCCCATAAGCAAGTATGTGCTCAGGATAATAAGTCTGTGACCTAACTAAAATCCACAGCAATGGACGGTCGTTAACCGATATGGACAGGGAAAATAGTGTAACTAAGCTATGCCCCGTTAGCCGTGGGACACAACCTATTACATCTACCAATACCCATACCATATCCCTACCCGGTCTCCATTTTCTTTCACCATTTTATCTTGAGAGTAATAATAATAGTCACCTATTGTGAGTAACGACAGGTTACTTGCCTTGGGCAGACACGGTGTTAACTGAGTCAGTCAGTGGCTGTGGGGCTTCCTCCTGTACGAGGACCTCCTCCTCGTACTCCTCTATCACCTCCTCATACTCCTACTCTTCGGTGGGCACAAACTCCACCAACTCGTTCTCTACATGCATGCAATGATGATGCAACACTTAGTATTTTGGCAACAACAACTCTTAAAATAAGAATACACATGTTAAGCTACTAAGCTAGCTCTAATGACTAAGATACTAAGTTAATCATTATCTCTACCAAATAGATTCCAAGCTCACCCTACAAGTGCTTAATTTTTATAAAACCAATATCATGCCATTATTAATTTAGCCTTAATGGCTATTTAGCTACCATATTAAATAGTCTATTTTAGGCCTACAAAAATTACAGCAAGCACCTAATAATGCCATAAAGCTACTATAGAAATTTCAGAGTTAAAGCTATCATAAATCTACCATAAAAAATTACCACAATAATTAACTTAATAATATTGAGCACTCTCAAATAATTTAATAGCTTCTGATATCAACAAGCACATATATGAACTAAATACACTAACAGATAGAGCACAAATTTAGGAACCTAACAAAATTGGTTTCATGATTTTTGGATATCTACATTATTTTATATTAATTATCAAAGTTTAGCTCAGAATTAAAATAAAAAGCTATTTCTATTTTCCACAAAAAAGATAACCCGATTTCGGTCCAACGCGGCCCACGTGGGGCGTGGCCCACACGCGGAGGCAGCCCACTACAGGGAGCCCGCGCGCTGGCACACTTGCAAAAATGCCCTCGCGTTATCAAACAATAGCGCGAACACCATACGTACTATTTATATAGACAACGACTTTGCAATGGAGCCCTCGTATCTTTTCACCTTCGCACCGGAGTGGTCCCCGAGACACCCGTGCTCACCGGCATGGCGGGCGGTGGCACTAGGCGATACGTCGGCCACCCAGGACACTTGCAAACCTAGCTAGGGGACCGATGCTCACCTATGGGCCGACGCATGACGATGGACGGTGGTTGCACGAATGGGGTGAAGCAGAGCGGGCTCTCCCTGGCGGTAGGCGAACTGCAGCGGCGGCAACCACATTCCGATGAGCCACAGCGTACAACAGATAATAGAGGTGATGGGTAAGCATTAGTAACGCACCACGATCCTACCCGTGGTGGTGTCCTGGCGGAGATGCCCCGAGCAAGTCTAACCGCGTGCGCTCGACGAGCTCGATGGCGAACCGCAGTGACACGGTCGTGTCAGCAGCGTGGAGGCGGCACTAGGGCTATGACTAGCATGTGCACGATGAAGAGGGGTTCCAGGCGGGGCTATTGGTGCGGTCAATTTGACGCGAGATGGCAAAGTTGGAGCTGGCCACGGTGAGGCGGGCTGGGCCTTAATGGCATGGCGGTGGGAGCAAGGCTCCAAAATTGGAGCTCGGTCTAGCCATAATCAAGGTGGGGTAGGGGCGGTCAGCAAGAGGATGTAAAGGCGGAGACGCGAGCACGAGGAATTGATGAGAGGTGCTCGCTCTCTGGGTCACCATGACCGCGACTCGACGACGGCAGAAAGCAGAGGGAGAAAGAGAGAAACAGGCACGACAGGTGGGCTCAGTTCGTCCTCGCCTTAGTGGATTGCGATTGGCGAGATCGTGGAGGCCCACGCCCAGGTGCTAGCCGACAGGCGTGCGCGCTCCCGACCAGCGTGGCCCATGTGGCCACAGTGTCATTAATGACAAGGCGACGGCGAGCCCGACCACATGCGCATGGTAGAGACGGCACGCACTGGGCTGGCAGCAGAGCAGAGATGCAGCGGATAGGCGTGGACGCGACGACGAGGTGATAGCACTGACAGTGTCTTCATCATGGCATGGCGGGCGACAGCAGCGCTGCACGGCGAGGCCTATGGTAGCCGAGCCATAGCCAAGCCAAAGGCAGCCACGGCCGGCAGTGCATGCACGCGTGACCAATGCGGCGACACTGAGCGCCCGAGCATGGTGATCACAGCCACGAGGCCAACCAGCCCTAAACCGTGTCGTGCATGAATTTTAAAGCACCCATCACAACTAAAGGGTTGGTCCAGGAGCCAAACCAGCTTCACCATGCTCCAGATGGCATATGAGACTACCAAATCGAGTTATAACACTACACCACTCCTTAACCTAATCTCTTAAAATAAATTACTAAACATAGCAATGTCTAGCTATTGACAAACTTGAAAATTTTCTAAGTTTTGAGCTGACTTTGATTTTAATCTACGATTTCTAAGCTAGTAATATCATTTTTCGACCATAAGTATTTCACTAACATCTACAAAGTTTGTACTTTCAACTTTATTAAGGTGTCACATATATGTTCTATAACATTTTTGCTTAATAAAAATTAGTTT